CATTTGTAAAGTAATCCGTTTTGTGATTAAGCTTTGCTTTGACAAAATCTTAAGTTTTGTATATTCTCGCTAGACTGATCAAAAATATTAATTTCTACGTTGTTCATCTACTTGCATTTGAGTCTCTCAGGTTCAATTACCACTTGCCTTTTCGGGTAGCGGATGCAAACGCGTCAGATAGTGTCACGTACGTTCTTGATCCTGTGTCATCGTTTTACCTTTGGCAAAAGATAATCTGAGTCTCAGGCGAAGTCCTTCACGACATTTACGCCAGGTTATTCTTGGCCGCCTCCAGGGTCCTGATAGCCATTCGGTTGACCCGGTAGAGCCGGAAGCCACACTGTCCTTTTTATTTGTTGGAGTCATTTATTCCTGGCATCTCCTTTCTAGCACTTTTGCATAGAGTTTAACTGGGAGGCTCAATAAGGCAAGGCTCCTGTAATTGGAGCACTCCCTGTGGTCTCCGTTCTTGAACAGGGATACTACAACTTACGTTCTGCAGTCCACTAACACTATTCTCGTAACCATTGCAGTTTGAACTGTACGTGTAAGCCAGCACATGCCTTGTTCGCCTATTGATTTGAGCATCTCAGGCAGCTTTCCAGCAGACTTGCTACTTTTAAAGTTTTGTACAGCTTTTATGGCTTCATGTGCTGAAAGCCTAATGTCCGTTGCCTGCTGTTCTTTCTGCACTTGATCGGAATTAAGGAGTTCCTGAAAGTACCCTCCTTTGCCGAATATGTATGTCCTCATCCTTGGTTAGAGAGTGTCCAGACTTGTCCTTCCAGACTCTTAAACTTCCTTCCAAACTGCCCTTCTTTTCACTTCGGAGCCGGCGGATGGTTTGTGAGAACACCTTGTTTGCCGTCTGGGAATTCGACTCTAACACCTCACCGAACTTCTCCAAAGAGTCAGGTTTGGCTTTCACCACTGCTTTCGCTGCCGCCTTGCGCTCTTCTACATATAGGCGAGTTTAAGGCTCTTTGCTTCCAAGTCATTTCTTGAATGCAGCCTTCTACTGTTTAACTGCCAGCTGTACCTCTCTTGTCCACCAGGAAATTCATTTGTGACCTCCAGGCGGCAGGCTAACCCATTTGAAAACCGCAGCGTTTGGCGGCAGCCCTGAAGCCTCCACTCGGTTTTCTAGTCGGTCGTCGTCACTAGGATCTCCTGAAATCGTCGCTCAAACAATTTTGTCTGCAAGTTTTGCCCTCGTATCTGTAGAAGGTTATGTTTCCCGTTTGATTCTCTGTTTGCTTCTGCCCCCAGATGGTCGTATGGTACTCCATTTTTCACAGCATAACTTCCCAACAAGTAGATGATGATCCTGGACAGTTCTGCGCCTTTTTTAACGCGAACATCTGTTACATAGTGTCGTAAGTCAAACGATGCGATTATGAGATTTATCTTAGACTTCTGTGCACAAACTTCCAGGTACTCGAGGAAGATTTTCATTAGAGACAGTTCGGTGTTTGCACAAAACCGCGACTTTTTCATGTCGTTTTTGTTGAGGCCACTAGAGCCATTCTTTCCAATCATGTCTCCGCTGTTCTCTGTCCGATTTGACATTCGTGCAGAAATCGTCAATCAGAATGATGGGTTCCGTAGTGGATGCTTTGTTCATTGCACCCTTCACAAGAATTATTATTTATTAATTCACTCTAATTAATTATTATTATTAATTCACATTATTCTCCCTCAGAATTTGGCGCATAGACATGTAACAAAGTCAGGGCGTTAGTCTATTGTAACTTCAGCCGGATATTTGTCAGTCTTCATCTGACAGGCTTTCATTCAGTGATTCTGTTACCCAGGTTGGGATCTATGATAGCCTGAGCACGGGTCGCGGAGGCTAAACCTGATTACTGTAGCTTCTTCGCAGAGGTTCAAAGTTCCAGAACCGTGGTACGTCGATAATGAGGATCTAGCTATGTTCAATCTGTGCCTTATGCCGTGTCCATTAGCTCCTGTTCTTTCCTTCTGAGTAAGGATATGTCCGAATTCACGACTGTAAACTCCCACTGGCGGTGTCGTTCCCGTGGAGCCTTTTCTGAAGTGCTACAGTGGCATCGCTTTGATTGGCTAATCCGTTTTGAGCATGTAGCGACTGTTTTTGACTTTTATGTTGGTCATGTTTTTGTGGAACTTCGACTGCCATCGTCGTGCTCTGTTGTCCCATCTGGCAGCGCGTGAAGCATTTTCTTGTTGCCGACTTTTGGCACTGTGTCTAAACCTTCAAGAGCCCCGGGACCCTTACAGTCCTGGATGCGATAGAACCTGTATGATGTTCGATTATGGCATTACCGTGGGGGAGGGGGCAGGTGGCTAAGTTTTATGGAAGACCTCGCAACCTTACCCAGCCATCCCCTTTTCTCATCATCATCTTCGGACTGGAAACGACTTAGCTTATTTGAATTTACTTGCATTTAACTTATTTATTTTTTACTAGGCAAAGCACAAGGCTGAAAAAAATCGTCTGGCTGCTCAGGAGTCTTTCTTAAAGACAACGCATGCTCAGAGGCAAGAAGCTGCTCAGATCAGAAGGGAAGAACGAGCGAGGGAACGAAAGGAAAAACTGTTGGCTGAAGAAGATCCGGAGCGCCAAAGAAAACTGGAAAAGTTGGAACTGAAACGTGAAATGAAAAAGAAGCAGCCTCGCATGAAGCAGCTGAAAATTAAGGCTTCATAAATGCTTTGCACTCGGCACTCGTTTGTTCATTTTCTTTTTTCTGTTTAAAATCACTTATATTTCAATTTTCGCAGTTTTCAGAATAAATAGCCACTGTTTTAGGAAATTCATCGCAACGCCCGGGTATCAAACCAACTCAGTGTGAGCTGAACACTGGCGACCTGCCTTAATATGCAAAGGCAGCAGCGCTTGCCACGTTACTGTAGACTTTGTCTTTAAGAGAAATGAGGCGCTCCTGATTAAAGACATGCGTATGGAGATCATATCCGCATCATAAGCTTCAGGAAGTGAAAGGCGCCACAAATGGTTACCAATCATGGTCGTATCAGGGACACTGACAGTCCAGGGGATTCCAAAACAAGTGCACTAATGCAAAGTAAATTGTTTCTCCATCTAACTCCTGTTTTTAATTTACCGTTAATCTTGACGTCGTTTTGCTTATGTTTTGAAATTTCCCGCTTCAAGCAAAAACGCGACTCACTGAGCGGGAAAGGGGAGTGCAAAAGGATATTGCATAATGTAAGATATCAGAAACGTGTGAGAACGAATAGTATTCGTCTTGCCTGGTGTGCTGGTGGCAGGATTTGCGAAAAGGCCTTTGCTAAAGCGAAGGCAGGCCATGGAACAGTTCGGATCTAGGCGTGGTGTTGAGGAGTAACATTGCTTCTGTGCTTTCAAGTTTTAAAGTGTTTGATAATACGATTAAACACTCGTAACAGTCGCGCTTCTTCCGAAGTTCGGTACTCTTTCGCCAAGAGAGCTGAAGACTCGGCTAATTCATGGTGTCTTTGAAAGCTACTGACTGATATTTTTTATTTTAGGAACGATATTGATGATGGATGCGTGATAGTTGTTTAAATCGTCTACCAAAATTCGTTTCATAATAACACCCCGTTCTCACAGAAGATTAATACAGACAATATAAGGCGTAAAGCATTTTTTAGGAGTACAAACGTATTAATGAGGCACCTCTAAACTTCAGTGGTTGTTCTATTCTGAGAATTTATCATTATGGTTGTGGTGACTCGGATTATATTAACAGAGAATGCTCTGGGGGATGCATAATGATTGTTCAGGTCTGGCTGGTTCTCTAATATTATATTCAGCTTTTGCGTCCTGCCCTATAATGCAAGATTTTGTTTACTAGTGTTACTCATTATTTTCTGTATTAAATATTACCAGATGTACCTTGTCAATCAACAGCATTGTTTTCCGGCGATCCCAATTCCTATGAAATCGCAGTACTCTAATGGAACCAAAAGTCGTTTTCTTTATAATGAGAGTCTTGGCCCTACAACTAGTTGCATCATCTATGTCATGTATGAGTATGAATCGCATGTTTTGAGCTTTGAGTCATGGAGTGAGCAGCGATGACCCCCTCCGGCGTCTAATGCTTCGTTGGTTTACATTCAAATCAGATATGAAATTTGCGTTCTACACAACTGATTCCTGAGAGACGCAAACCCGGCAGGTGTACACTGCTTTCATAGAGAAATTTTTGCTATCCTTTTGCCTGAGGGATTGCTTGTTTTGGCGGAACCGCTCTTCGCTGACCAAAAGATTCTGGTGATCATCTCTATGAACCATATTATTAGTGGACCACTGAACTGTTACCAAGCTCTGGTATAAAAGTTTTTGAAAACAGTGACAGCTCACGTACTATTTGAAGCGAATACTGACAAATTGCAGTGTGGTAATTCTACGATATCGAAACACGAGCACTGGTCTTAGAGCTTATGGTGAATTCCAACTGGCAGTAAATGGCAATTTGCAGAAGCAAGCCATCAAAGCTACAAATGACCTACGGTCAAAGAAACAACTCTCAGCAATAACGACGAATGCCACCATCAATTTACGAATCTAGATATTACCGTTTGGTTAAAGCACATGATCTGATACTTGGTGAGGATGCAACTTTACTTGCATATGATCGAACGCCTTAGAAACACAGGAAAATTGAGCGTTTTACTAATGGGTCGTTACAGAATCGTTCTTACAATAGAATAAGCGATTTTAGTATACCGGGTGATTTTCAGTTTTCCATGATATTGTCACCTTGCCTCTAGGCCAGTCTTGCTGACGACGTCGCACTGCTGCGTCCTAGACATTCATGTCATTGGCATCAGTAGGACATTGGAGCTTTCGGTTGTTAAACCAAAACTCCATATGAATGACGATGTCTCGTACGATTTTGACATTCGCATTTGCCCAGCTTTGCAACAGGCTTTACGTCATGATTATTGTTGCAATGACTGAACCTGCATATTGCAACAGCATGAGGCTTGTTAGAGATGAAGATGTGGAACCTAGACTAAATGCTATATTCACGGTCCTTATATATGTATAGGCAATAATTTCCCTTATCTTTTTTTTAATAACCCTTATCTTTTTTGTCGATCCCGTTTCCGATATCCACTATCAAAAATTATCTGCCTTACGCGGACTGGTTTTCTATACAGCTGCGGAGCCTACGTTCATCCTAAAAGACTAATCCGCATTAACCAGCTAGTTGCATAGTACTTCCGGTGTAAGGTACTCCTGATAAGTATATCTGGGTATCTCGCTGCCGGAACCTTGATCATTTGGTCAAGCAGCGTGAGCGCTTTCGATTGTTTCATGGACGCTCTCGGTCTCGCCTTTGATTGGCCCACGCTTCCGGCTCTCCTTTAGAGAGGAGCGCTTCTCCTTTGATCAACATGTCTGATTGCACGCAAAGCTGATACGTATCGTGCGCTAAAGACAAAATTTCTGACCGAGTACACAAGTAGTATTAAACAACGGCACCAACTGCCATCGAATGTTGAGGAGTCACATCTGGCTCTTCGTTAAAAAGCGTGCAAATTATTCCCACGTACCTTTTGTGGTTCC